ACGCTGCCTGCCTGCCCCGCCGTATCCGGTTACTGAGGCGTCGCTCCAGCAGCCATCGCCCCGCCAAGTGACACGCGCCAAGAGCCACCGGGCGTGCGACATGCTTGGTCACTCCTTGGCCGTCCTCGGGTTTCTCTTGCTTGGGCGGGATGGATTTAAGCTCATGGGTGTCCTGAGGAGGGGTAGACGGTGTTCAAAAGGTATGTGAGGAATGAAGCCAATTCCATCCCCTGGGTGGGAAGAGAGAGGGAAGCTTGGGCTTTCCCTGGCTCACTCTTAAATTTCTACCTTGGAGTATGTGTGTGTATATTTATGAGAAAACTGAGCAGAGGCTACACATTGCCCGATACAATGAATATCAGGGATAAGATACTCCAGCCTCTTGATCTCACAGATTTGTCCGAATGTGAGCAGTAGCTCTCCACAGACAAAATGGGAAGTGAACGTAATGGATATCTAAAAGGGGATCATCAGGTGGCAATAGTTTGGTGGTGAGGGAAGCACTCGTTTCAGGCTGCAGGAACAGAAAGTGCTGCTGCTGTCACTGCTCCCAAAATGGCACAGCTTGGTCCTGCATCCGCTCGGGCCCCGCGGTCCCCGTGCCCCGTGGCAGCACCACCCTTTGCTCGTCTGCTGGAAGCCGCCAGGATGCCTTGGGGACGAAGGGCACGTGGTCCCTCAGGGGAGCAGGTGCCTCGTTGTCACCTGGGTTCCTTTAGCACCCTTCTAAGAGGAACCTTACGCCTTTGGCTGACCTAGTGCTGCAATGGATAGCCCTTAATAAAATTAGTCACAGTATACTGTACTGGCATGAACACAATCCCATAGGTGTATTTTTCCTACACATGTACTATTTAAGCTGACCTGGCTCTAGCTACACTATGGTGAACTTTGTGGCGCAATTTAGTTTGTTGATTTTAAAGTTTTTATGGTGTGATCTCTTGGTTACCTCAGAGCATTGCAAAAGGCTTAACGGCTTAAGCAGTTAAAAAATAAATACATTTTATTTGAGTTCTGTGCTAACACAGAAAAACTTGAATAAGGCATGAAAGGAAGCCATAATGCTTTTATAGATGGTTTTATTAAGACAAGAAGCTTTTCTGACAAAAGGGAGATTCTTGTTCGTATAAGTGGTGGACTAAGACTAAGCTGAAGTATTACATTTTAGCTGCCATGTGCTTATCTGCAGTTTGTGCTCACTCTTCTGCACTTTCAATGAACAATTTTTCCTTTAGTTCCAAGCTAGGAGAGTAAGACTATATCACTTCTCCTTTTTTTTCAGGTGTAAATTGCTTGTGATATCTCAAAATCTATTTCATATGGAAAGTTAACCATAAATGTGGCACCTGTTTTGGAACAGAATAAAGAAAGATCTTAGTATGATTTTATTGTGTTTCTTACAAATGAATTGCATCGAATTAAGTTAGAGTCGTGACTTCTGTCATTGTGCTTAACAGGCTAATGGCACAAGGCAGCAAGGGTACACAAGCCAACCAGGTGTAAGATAGTTTGATTGGGGCAGTGATTAGTTATTCATTTCACATGTTCTGGTATGATGATTGTTGCCACCACATTATGGTGGTGAGTCACAGACTAAGGCCTTATTGATCCAGTTGCTGGATGCACACACTGGTTTGCTAAAAAGGAGGATCTAGGAGTATGTCCCACTGAATGCAGCCGACTGTAGCAGAGGTGGTATTTTGCATTTAGAGTGATTCAGCTTTTGAATATGTTGGGAACACGGATTTGAAAATTTTCTGTACTTGATAGAGGAAGTGTGAGGAACTGTAAATGTTTACAGAACTGCTTTTACTGTATAGTCAAAGGCAAGCAAATGTTAAAGAAAATATATCTGTAGCAACATGTGCTGCAAAACCTCGACAGATAATAGTCACTTATGTAATTTAATGAAGGTACTTCATCATTTCAGTCAAATAACATTTAAGTTACATAATGGGGTCAACTGGAAACCTAATTTCTGTTCTAACACTTTATGCTGTTCCTTGTAGAGTCTAACTTTATCTTCTTCAGACCTTTGCCCCTGCTGGCTGTTAAATAATTCAGTTGTCACTGCTGGAGACATTTGCAAAGCTGAGTACTGCTGTGCTTGAGAAACAGTGAAACTGGTGCCGTAACTGTGTGACTTAAATTTACAGCCAGACCAAGGTACTTTATTTTTCCATAGACATATGTCTAATAGGTCTTTATTAGACCTGCAGGTGAAATAAAACAGCAATTATCACATATTTTCTTTTAAAACACTGATAGCATAGCACTGTTACAATACTGTTTAATTTCAAAGTGCTTTCTTTATTAATTTAATTTTAATCAGGCATATATCAGCTAAACTAGAAAAAGAAACTATTTTTATTAGCCATCTCAACAATAATCCATTATTAATTGCCATTAATAGTAGCAATTTCTTTGCAAAAACCAACAGACTTCTCATATAGTTGCATAAATTCTCCTTGTGGGAAGCTGAGTACTGATTAATTTCACTCTGAACAACGACCTTGCTTCTTACCACCACAGTTTACTTAGTACATCAGAATGTGAAGATTTATTAAACATTTTAAAGTACATTTCACTGTTAAAAGTCATACATTAAAGCAGATTAGTTGCCTACCATGAAAAGAATACAGATTAATTCCAGTAAAAGCACTAGCCGAATGCCACCGTGAATTACAACAGCTTCTGGTGGGACAGGAATATTGCAGCTACGAACGCAAGCACTTTCTCATTTTTTTGGTAGATTTTTCCATAGTCTTTGCTTGGATGTGTGGCTCTTGATGAGCAGACTGTGCTCCAGATTTGCTGTGGTTGTCTGGAATTAGCCTCTCACCACTCTGCCTTTCAGCGGTTGGGGTTGCCGGTGATTGCTCAGTATGGGACAAGGTGCTTCCCCTTCAGCAGAAGACAGGATCGTGCGGAATTGAGCCAGCTAAATGGGGCAAGGAAGGAAGGGATATATTTAGCTTTTCACTTTTATATTACATGTCAGTGAGAAATTATTATACTTCCCAAGTAACTTTCTATTTTTTAAAAAAAATAAAACTTCATAATATTGAATTAATCCAGTGGTGAGTCAGGATTTATGCTGCCACAGAAGAACTGGAACAAACAACTGTCTTTGAATATCCTATTCACCCCTGTATCCAACTGTCACAGAAACTTTCAGACACTGGTACTGTTGTGTTATTACCTATGTAAAAAACCTGGTGTTTGATAAATTAAAAATATCACCAATTGTGAAAGTCAAAAAACAATGCCTTAGAACTAATTCAGCTTTGCTTTAAACATTGTTTTTTACATCAAACTATTTGAACTTAATTTCTGTTCCCTATCCATTGAACAGCCCGGTTAATAACACCTTGAACAAATATTAAGGATCTTCATAATACCAAATTTATTTCTACATGCGTGCTTTTTGTTTTCAAAGATTCGAAGTACTTAACTAGCCTTATCTGGAAAGATATTGATTCAAACACCTTTGGAAGGACAGGTGGCAATAATTTAACTGCATAAGACAGTTTCATAAGAGTTTAGAACAGAAAGAATACTTACTTTGATAAGGCCAATGAGGGATATTTAGCTTATCCTACAGACATTGTTAGGAAATAGTGCAATAACAAAGCAATTGGTACAGCTCCTAACCACTCTGCAATAGCACTAAATGAAGACATACACTCTGGCTAGTTCATCTTGTGGCACGTTTCAAAGCTCCCTGCTCAGGCAGGTTTTTGGCTGAGATTTGATGAGAATATGAATTTCTTTTGGGGAGTCTTGTAGGAATGAGATGGGAAGAATTCAGCTTTCCACCTGGCTTCTGCTTTGGGAGACACAGCACCACAAGGAGGTTTAAATAAGCAAATTGCCTTTCCTGGAGCAATCGAAGCAACTGCACTAATCTGAAGTCATCTTACCTCAATTCCCACAAGACTTTGCAAGATGTGAGTAGCCTAACCCGGTTAAGGCAGAATCATAAGTGTTTATTAAGAGCAATAACGTGGTATGAAGGTAGTACTCATTTTACAGTAAAAATGAGACAAATAGACCTAAAGTGCATCAATAGCATGTAAAGTGGTAATGTCCCTGAAGCTAAAAGACAAGAAGGGTCTTGTTCCCTGCAGTACCGTACCTGCTCTGAGCTGATAGTAATTGGCTCTTTAAGGATAATCCAGATGACACTTTCATGGAGGGGAGGATGAGTCAGAGAGCCATTGTAGGTCCAGTAATCCATGGATTTAGGCAGTAGGCTTGAAGGATCAAAATCAGAAAAGGGAGCTTGCTTACCCTGTGGATGACATGCTGGGTTAGTGAAACCCATGAGTAAGACAGGATTTACATCTCAGGCTGCAAGGGATTGTGTTCCTAAATCAGAGAAGGTAATTTCAAAACACTAGTGTTTTCTTATAGCATCGGAGGTGAGTTCCTTGCCCTGGTGATGTCTGACACTGAGATACATCTAGGCTGGCACCACCGACAATGAGCTGTGTTACTCAAAAAAACCAAAAAGCAACCTCTCCCCAAATGATATCAGATGCCACAGAGCTCAGTCATCACTGACTAAAGGGTTGTGGTTTTGTTTTGGTTTGGTTTTTTAAAATACTGAACTCTGTGCTCCTGAGCAAGCAAAACACTTCAGTGTATAATTAATTTTCAGCCATCTGTTGAGGCTAAAGAGAGGATTGTTTGAACAAGTTGATAATGTTCGCATGTTCAGGGACAAAGTCTACATTTCTTTTTAAAATCCTGTGGGAGATGCTGTATTGCATTTTTAACATGCTTCACCAAAATTCAGATATTCAGATTCTACCTCCACTTATCTTGTGCCTTTATGAGAGGCTTAGTGGGAACAGTCACTGCTTTACAAGACACCTTAAGAAAAGTGCAATTCTGGTATTATTTCTTCTCCCTTTTTTTCCTTCCTTTTGCTGAGCAAAACGTCTGTTCAGTTATTGGGAGGCTGTGCTGGTGCTGGACACCAGGGGTAATTTTAAATAGACAGACTGATGGATGGAAACGTAGGATTAGGTAGAGATCAGGAACGGTGTGCCCTTACTCTGACACAAAGAGCCCATAGCTGTCTACAGGGTGGAGCCCCAACAATACAAAATAATTTACGGGATCCCATAAACTCATGTCCGGGATCACGTGTTCAGCTCCCACATCTCAACAGCCTCCTTCAACTGAACCCCTGCATTATTCTGAAGTCTTCAAAAAAGGCAGATGAGAGATTGCACAGATTTTAATTTGACTATTCTATATATTACCATGATCAGGCTGTGACGATATTTACCTTAGTCTTTATTGAATCCAAGGCCTTCAAGACACCCTTCAGGTTTTCATTGCATAAGCCAAGCTGTAATTAAAAAAACAGTATAAAATTCTAAAGACGTAACGTAGTTTTATTCTAACAGAATCAAGAATAAGAACATGCTTTATAAATATTGATTAGTTTAGCTTTGCAAACCCACTATGAATGAGATAAAATTTAGAACTTTTGAGGAAATAACAGGAAGTTTTGCTTCTACTTTGCAGAGTAATGTGAACAGTAGTGCAAAAATAATCTGTGTTTCAGAGGTATATGATTGCTTTGATCATATGTGCTTATCCTTTGAAAGCACTCAGAGAGATGGTTTTGCTGCTATCTCTTTTGCAATGTGAACTATAAGTAACTATATTTTAGTAGTATATAATAATATATAATA